TAGCTGTGTTTTTTCTGTTCCTCGACTTCTTTCTTGAGTACAATTGCTTGTTTCATTCCTTGGTGGGTGGAAAGGTGGATAAAGGAAGGAGGATTGAATGTACTGTGGGGAGTGTGTTTGCTATGAGCCTGGGGGTAATACGGTTTGGTTGTTTTGTTTTTCTAGTTATAAAAATCTGGCTCAGATTATTTACTTTTGCTATTGAGATAAGCTTTCATCATTCGTGTGTACAAATTACCTCATAGAAAGATTTCCATTTAAGTCTACTCTTGAATTATTCACAGGAGATGACAGTTGGAAAACCTATTGCACCCTGTCCTAAGCTAAAGGTCCCTATGGGTTGTCTGGGTGATTCATGTGGTAATCTGATGAGAGGCACACTTCACTGCTCCCAGCCCAGGCAGGGCCGCTTCAGAACGTGACACCGCTTAGAGCAGTCCTCCTCTCTGCTGTATGTGGTTTTCTTTGCACCTTTGTCTCTGTTCACATGCCTTCTGTTGATGCGCCTCACTCCCAGCCAAACCAGCCAGCCACAGCAGCTCTCACAAGCCAGCTGTGTTTTCCCATTGATTTCTAACTTCAGGGTGCTGCGTCTCTTGTTCTCTTTCCTACGTTTCACAGGGCAAGGAAACTACGCATGGAAATGAAAAGTCACAGTGCTCATTGGTGGCCTGTGAGGCCCAAAAACTGATGGCACTTGAAATTAGTTCCTATTTTTGGCTGGCATTTTACACAGATGGCAAGTAGAGTGATTACATGCCTGACTGCATTGAGAGGTTTGTCTAATCCCATATCCTGTCCTCTTTAACACTTTTATTAAGTCTCAAACTTTCATTTATGATGAACTCCTTTTTAAGAATGCCAGTGTATGCTGAAACATAAAACACTGTGTCTTATGGCAAGAACCTTCCAAACATATTCAGTCTATTCCTTTGATTCTTGGTAGAAGCATAAATAAATCTTTCCAAATTAATGGGCATTTGACTTAGGAATTCCCAAAGGAGATGATTCTAGAACTTCCCTTAGTAATTTATTCTGGTACCTCCAGCTTTTATAGTTAACTTTTCCTTAAGGTATTACTTAAATTGTTTCTGAAATATATAGAGTAAGATTGAGCAATCTCTTGTCCCTTTGTCAGCAGTGATGGTAAGTGACCCTCAAGTGAGGAGGCCTTAATATAAAAGACATGATCGATCATAAACCTGGTAAAGATCTGCCTGGGGGTCATTACGCAGGGTCTGCTCCTCCAGCCATTTCAACCCTGGGGCTTCCATCCAGCTGGTGAAGGACAGGGGTGCTGGCCAAAGGCAGCTGCGACAAAGCCCTTCCACCGAGGCTCTGCCTTTTATTCTGTAGTCCTCATTAACTCCCACTAAACATGTAATTTAAACAGTCCTGTTTATGTGATTCCTAATGCCTGAATCTCAGCAGTGGCAAAGTGGTGGGAAGGGAGCGGCTGTTGGCACATGTGATGACAGCAGAAGTTTGAATTTGACAGCCTGACAGTGAGAGGGGAGGGGGCAGCCCAGTGCCGTTAGGAAGGCAGATAAAATCTGTTCAGCACGTCTGTCTCACATGGGGACAAGGCAGTCTAGTGTAGATTTTCATAGGAAAAAATGTGGTTACACTAAGATATTTTTATTACTCCGAAGATTATAGCTGAAGTTATTTTTTAAAAAATTACTGTAAAAGTGTGGATTTTCAGCTGGGGAGTGGTGGCTCATGCCTGTAATCCCAGCACTTTGGGAGGCTGATGCGGGCAGATCTCCTGATGTCAGGAATTTGAGACCAGCCTGGTCAGCACGGTGAAACTCTGTCTCTACTTAAAATACAAAAATTAGCCGGGTGTGGAGGTGCACGCCTGTAATCCCAGCTACTTGGGAGGCTGAGGCAAGAGAATCGCTTGAATGCAGGAGGCGGAGGTTGTAGTGAGCCAAGATTGTGCCACTGCACTCCAGCCTGGGTAACAGAGCGAGACTCCATCCCCCCAAAAAAAATTAAATAAAAAAAATAAAAGTAGGCATTGGCCATGGCAGGGTTATTGTGAAGATTGGGAATAATATACAGGAAGCACAATGCAGCCTTGGCCCTGCTGCTGGGAGGGGCTGATTTGTATGGCTCTTGGGTTGATAGTCCATGAAACTAAAATGTGGCGTTTGTTGTGGTTGCTAAATATAGCTTGAGTGAATATAGTAGCTTCTTAAGAAGCCCACTTAGGATGTTCTAAGCTAAATAGAGTATATATCTAACATGCATAGTTAAAATCCAAATATTTCCTGCAAAGCTGATTTAAATAATTATATTCTCTCCTGACCAACAGGAACTCTGATCCAGTTGTAAAAGTAGTTAATTTATTTGACTTTCTTAGATAAATGAAGATTTAATAATCAAGGCCCAGTATAACAGAAATGTGGTCTAGCCAGTAGACAGAGAATTGTTTATTATACAAATGTATCCTTAGGTCTTGTGATTTGTGGGTGCACAGTTTCTGGAAATCTGGCATGAGTAAGCACTTACTTGGAGGGAGAGTCATGAGTCTAGTCCCTGAATGGACTAGTTCTTTTTGGTTGCTGGGCAGGAAATATTCCTTTAGCTTCTCCTATTTATCCTTTAGCTGCTCCTATTAACCCTTTCCTTGATGTGTGCAGGGATGGGGGCACTGGAGGAAAACACGCAGGTTACTGATGACACCAATTCATCTTTGCTGCTGTGTAAGGGTGAGTTGAGGAAAGCACTCAATAGCACTTCTGGCAAATAAAGAACACCACTTGGGCTGGGTGTGGTGGCTCACACCTGTAATCCCAGCACTTTGGGAGGCCGAGGTGGGCGGATCACTTCAGGAGTTTGAGACCAGCCTGACCAATATGGAGAAACTCCATCTCTACTAAAAATACAAAATTAGCCGAATGTGGTGGTGCATGAGTGTAATACCAGCTACTCGGGAGGCTGAGGCAGGACAATGGCTTAAACCTGGAAGGTGGAGGTTGCGGTGAGCCCAGATCATGTCGTTGCACTCCAGCCTGGGCAACAAGAGCAAAACTCCATTTCCCTCCCCTCAAAAAAAAAGAACAGCACAAGTTTTGAGCATATATATCATTTTTTAATTTTTATTTTTAGTGCAGTGGTGCAACCACAGCTCATTGAAGTCTCAATTTCTTGGGCTCAAGCGATCCTCCTACCTCAGCCTCCTGAGTAATTGGGACCACAGGCAAGTGCCACCATGCCTGGCTATTTTTTAAGAAAATTTTTTGGTATTTTTTGTAGACAGGATTTTGCCATGTTTCCCAGGCTGGGCTTCAACTCCTGAGCTCAAGCAATTCACCTACCTTGGCTTCCCAAAATTCTGGGATTACACAGGTAAACCAGCATGCCCAGCCAGGTGTTTTTAAATTAAAAATACAGCTGCAGGTTGTAGAGAGTAGGGAGAAGAGAATTGTGTTCATTGTTTGGGTTCCATGGATCCTTTGAATGTGCACAGATGTGTGTCTGGGGGTCTCATGAACCAATGAAATGGTAAGCAGCATTTGGGGCATTTATGGATTTTTCTGATGAGATGGTCTTTTTTTTTTTAACTTTTCCTTGTATATTTTGAGACTCTTCTACTCAGAAAGAATAGAGTAGATGTTTGATGTTAGTCACTGGTTTTATACATAAATATTTTACCTTTGCCCTCACAATGTTAGTCAACGTAGAGATATGATTCTGATTAATAACTGGAACAGGCCCAGAGCATTTGGTGATGTATCAGGCATCCCTGGTAAGTGTGTGAATCTCTGATCCCAGTGGTGTCTGATGCAGCCTGGTCCTCATGACTGACTCCTCTGTGTAACATTGAGTATGAACATACTTGCTTTGGGTCTGAGCTTCCCTGTCTGAAAATCAAGGAGTTTAAATTACATGATCTTGAGGACCCTTTTAGCTTTTAAACCGAGGCTGCTTTGTAGCTTCTCCCTTAGTAGTACCTGTTCTCTGTCATTATTTACATGGTGTAATATGAACTGCCCATCCTAGGAACACTTTGTAGAACTTCTGACTTTCTTCTACAGATGTTCCTGTCCCTGTAAGCTTGTAGAGCCTGTTTCTTAAAATCTCAGTGAATTGGAGTAGATGTACTATGCAAAATCCTGGTTTTAAAATTTTTAATCAAAGTTTACGTTCTATTGCCGTTTGTTCGTTTTAATGTATTTGATTGATGCTGAGGGAAGCAAAGTGCTGCAGACCTACTCTACTTATTGCTTATTTGCCTTACTTCAAATAACACTGGGGGAAGGAGATGCCGACCCAAGTCTCTGTGATGGAAAGTTGCAGGGACTTTTAACACCCTTAGGACCATGGAATTGCAGTAAGTTAGGCTTGGGTGAAATGCTACACCCAAATGCATTGCAAGTTGTGGCTCTAGATAGTTTGCAGAGGAGGCTCAGGGCTACAGCCTGTAGCTAACTGCCACTTGCATAGCTCTCTGATGACTCTTTGTGATAGGATGATCATTCGAGGCTGGAGAGGATGGAGACTGGGAGCCAAGGGGCTCCCAGTGACAGGGCAGAGGAGAATCCTCAGCGCCATACTCTGGCTGCTGGTGACAGGCAGGAGTGGCAATAACAGGTACAATAATGGCTCAAGTTTTACCTTTGCTGGAAGCTGGGAGTGAATAGCTGGGTCAGTTATATTCTTTGGAAATTTATTTCCTTAAATGATGGACGTTCCTAAATCCATCTAGGAATGCTGGATGTATTTATATGTACTGTGTTAAGCCCCTCTCAAATTTGCACATTCAGAGGTATGGTCTGATAATTAATAATCAAGTTATTTTTCTTTATGCCCAGAAGTCTGTATTCTGCACAGAGTTGCAGACCCCGAGCTGCGCTAAAGTTCGGAAGTTTGAGCTGCCGCTGAAGTATTGACTGCGGAGGGGCGGGGTTTTCTGTCTCCAATGAGGTGCCTTTGGTGTTGGGAAAGCCTATCATCTTTCGCAGGAGTGCTTGCTCCGTAATCCAAGCAATAGCCACGCAGCCGGTTTTATTGTTTGCGGAGTCTTGCGGCTCTGAGCGAGCGCTTCCCAGACGGGAAGGAGGGCAAGTGGGCGGTTTATGATTCTGCCCTGTGCTGGGGCGAGTGAGCTGAGCTCTTTGATTTCTCCCAAGTAACCGTGTGGGTGAACTGTAAACTGGGTGCCTGGCTTGACCCTGAATCTTTTTCTCTAGGGTGAGGAGTGACTTCTTTCTGCAACCGACAGCTGGCTTTCTGCCTTGGTGGGGAAAGATGCCCGGGAGAGGAGTAGGATTACAATTTGGGATGCTAGAGACACACCAAAGAGTCGGAGTGCCTTGGCTTTGTGTTTTGCAAAGTCCTGACAAGTGTGCCTGAAATGAACACCCTGCTTCGGTTTTTAAATTATACTTTTATTCATCTGTTATTTTTTGGCCGTGGATATCACTGATCTAGAAACGGAGTCCACAGTGTGGCTAGGGTAAAACATTTGTGTTTTCTTTCTTAACCCCACCTTTCCCCTTTCTTTGTAATTGGGTAACACAGAAGCCGTCTTTTTGGGTAATGCTATGCCTGACTGTCAACGTTGTCTAAGTGGGAAATAGCAGGCGCCTGGAGAGGACCTGGGCCAATGTGAAAGACCCAGCGTTTTCTTTGCTGGGCCGTTCTTTGTCTCTAGTCGATTTTGAAAAGAAGATGAAAAAGGAAGGCTCTTCAGGTTCCTTCAGACTCAAGCCGAATGCAGGTTCTCTCTCACGTGCTGTGAGTTGGATAAATTTCTCCTCCTTGTCCAGGCAGACAAAGAGGCTGTTTCGCAGTGATGGAGAGCTCTCGGTTTGTGGGCAGCAGGTGGAAGTGGATGACGAAAACTGGATATGCAGAGCCCAGCCCAGAAAAGGTGACTTGATTTTTAAAAAATTTAAACGTTTGAAAAAGTCTGTTATGTAGAATTCTTGGTTTTTATCACTTACCCTTCATGATTTTTGCCACCCATTGGGAGTTTCCTTTGAAATGTTTGTTTTTGTATTGGAATTCAACACCATTTGTTTACATCTAAAATAAAAATGCTCTTCCAACTAGATTCAGCTTGAGCTTGTATCTTGTATCTTTCAAAGAAGGATAAAGTAGCTGTTATTTGTTCTCAGGGGTCTCTCTCCTTCCATCAGAGCCACATACTCATGTGACTTGTGAAAAGTTCATTGATAAACCACCACCCTGGAGAGAATCTTCTGCCCTTATAGCAATCTGGGGCTCGAACATGGAGCTCCTGTGAAACTGCACTGAGAAAACTTTGGGAATCATAGTCTTCTTGCATCTTTCTTCTAAGATTGATGCTTGAATTAAGCTGGTGTTGGGCTGCGACATCAAGGAAAATGAACACGCAAGGGGCTTAACCTGATATGTTAGTCTCAAGGAGTTTTTGAATTTTTTTTTTTTCTACTTACCTCTTTTAACTAGAGTTTTTAGATTTCTATCAAGTTTCTTTTCAGACCGATATTGGCTCTGTTCTCAGGGTTAGCATGTTTTGCCTCCAACTAAAAAAAAAAAAAAAAAAGTCCTGCTAGGAGAGAGGGAAACAGTTCAATATTTCTTAACACACCCCTATTTTGTATTTAGAATTTCTGAGTTCTTCCTCTTAGTGTGTGTAGGAACTGAATTGTTAAGCTCTAAAATGGTTTCTCCATTCGGTGCAGTGGGCAAAGCCCAGTAGGGGAGTGCTATTTAAGTATCACGAAGGAACCAAGTGCAGACATTCCGTGTGATTCTGTTTTCCCTGTTTATCACATTCTTCCCCCTGCCCAGAGAAATCTTGCTGGAGTCTTCCAGGGACCTGTGCTTCCCCCTGTTTTGGGAAGCACAACTACTGAAACATGAGAGAATCAACTAAGTTAAATATGTGCTATGAGTACAGTAATTATATCGCACAGGCTGAGCGTTAATGCAGCCTTTCTTCAGAGTGAAAGTGTGTAAACCATTTGTTCTTGTCTCTTAACTATGGCACAAGAGGGACTCGTTAATAATCTTTGAAGATATCAGTTGTTTATGATATCAACAAGGTGATCAACAGTGACCCACTGATTCTGAGCTTAAAAATGTGAGTTTTCAGTTCCAATGCTGTGTAATTGCCAGGCTTAGAAAAGGCATTTGTGCTTTCTGGCTGGAGTTGTATAGTTTAGTAAGTCCGTGAACTTTACTTTTCTAAATCAGGAATAAGCTGTGGTTTCGGTAAATGATTGGGTTGTAATGTTTGGAACAAAAATGTTTGAAGGGTGGATACAGTAGTGCTGTGGTTGCAAGAGAGTATAGTTTTGATTCCTTTGGACTTTGCTGAAGGTTGCTTTTTAGGACTTGTTTGACTTTGAGTTAACCACTGTTGAGTTTCTGTTAAAGACTGTGTACATGAGATCATAAGGCTATAGGATTTCTACTATAGAGACTTCATCTGACTTAACATTAAAGAAAAAGAGACTGAATTTGTGTGTATTAGTTTTAGTTGGGAAATAAAGCAAATACTGTACATGTGACTTGTGGAAGATAAAGAAATCATTGTAAAGGACAGGCGTGACTTGTGAAGGGGGGACTTGCTTATCTTACAATACAAAAGATTGTGCCCTTATCCCTTAATGGAATAGGGGATACAGTAGCCTCATGAAGATAAATGGAAGCATAATACTGGGTGTAAGTTTATGTGTTTTTTTGAAATAATTGGGCATGAATAATATGATTGTTGACATATGGTGTCAGAGAAAGTCCTTAAAAGCTGCTTATACATCAAAATTCATGGCAATATATTCTGTTTTCACATTTGACTTACAAAAGAAAATTGGCTTCCAACTGACATCTTGTTTCAGGGGCATGTTATCACAGTTGATCTTTATTCCACACAGTTCCTTCCTTTGGAGAAATACAGAAGTGACATTTGTTTATGCGAGCAGATTAAAAGAGGAAAAGTCTTTAAGAAAAATTATGCAGGAATGAAGTTTTTTCTTAGAAGCATCAAATAAGCTGAAACTCTAGCAAGGATTATCAGTCAATAATAAGAATGCCCAATGGCCACGTTAGGAGTTGGTTGCAAATAAATATGCACTGGAAGACACATTGTTGTGATGGGAATGTGTAGCATCTTTTCTGTTTCTCTGCTCAGGTCACGCACAGCCTAATCCACCCTCCTTTCAGTTTGCTTTGCAGTCCCCTAACTTACATTAACATTTTTTGATTTACATAGGTTGCCAAAAACCTGCTGTCTCCTCCTCTCTCTCTCTCTCTCTCTCTCTCTCTCTCTCTCTCACACACACACACACACACACACACACACACACACGCGCACACACACGCACGCATCATGTAGTGACAGCTAGAGATAGGGCAACTGTAGCTTAACAAACCAGCCTTACATCAGCGGTCTCCCTACGAGATCTCTGGTTGGTGGGAGTCCGGTTCTGCGGCTCCTGGCGTTCTCCCTCCCCTCCAGCAGCTGTTGAGAGGCCACACTGCTTGCCTTTTCCCTGCCCGCAGTCTCCAGGTATTGCTTTGCCCCATTAGCCTGCTGAGCTCCCCCCATCAGTGTGGATAGTGTGTTGTATGACACACGTTCAATTTCTGAAACAGAAGGTCTCTTAATAGGGAATTTCTATGCTGGATTGTTATTGGGAACATCAAAATAAAGTTTTTAAGTGGTTATATGGATATCTTTCAGTGCAACAAACCCATAGCTTTATGATTTAATATCAAGAAACTAAGGATAAAATTAGTGCTTGAGATTCTCTTTCTTTTGAGAATCTTTTTATAAGATTAGAAGCTACTAGTATGCATTTTTCTGATTAGACTACTGTTTCTGAGCTTAAAAAGTAATTACGAGATACATATTGATAGGTCCAAAGCAGCTACCAGTAAGCATCTTTAGGTTTTCTTTTGTATGTATGTCTGACAGCACACCACAAGTTTGAAAACTCTCTCGTATACCTGTTTATACTCAGAGAGCTAAGAATGAATTGGGTAGCAGCAATGATCAAGTCATATTCTTAGTATGGTATGACCCACTACAGTGGTAGATGATGTTTTGACTTAATTAGCCATACAAATCAAGGGTGTGAATCAGTATCTTCTTTATAGTGAAAAGGTAGAATGCAGTGGCAGATAAGACAATATGTAACTTTTCAAGTTAAGTTGTGAGAGCATTTATTGGTGAAATTGTTACTGAATACTATGTGTAGGATACAAAGAAAGATAGCCCTCAGGTCCTGAAGTCATGGAATTCATGCTTAAATGGAGAAGCAGATAAGACATCTAAAGGGGGAGTGTAAAGAGAAAATGCAGGATAATTGTGAAAAAGTGCAACACGGTGACCCAGATGAGAAGGTCCAGATAAAGGGACTTAATCTGGAACATTTTCATGTTTTGCATGGTCTTCTGATTGTTAGCATTTAATGGAACAAGATTTAATGAGTACCTGCTTTTTTTCTAGCACTGTGGAAGGTCCTTGAGGAAAACTCATGACTGTTAGTATTTATTCTGTACTTCCCCTTACTTGCTCACTCAAATAAAACTAAAAGAGGTGGAATCATAATGGGGTGTCCGTCCTCTCACTGAGCAGAGCTTGTTTTGTTGTATCCCCAGCTCTCCATTTAGCTGGGCAGAAGCGTGATTGATGATCCTGGTATTGGCAGGTCAGCAGATAGGGAAGGTAATTGACATGCAAAGCCTTGTTTTAAACAATGTTTCATCCTTTCCTTCTGGACTTTATCATACAGACTAGTAACATTACCAGCTTTGAATTATTTGAGTGTCAGTGCCCTCCCTTCTTAGCCACTACAAAAATGGCCAGAGAATGGCCATACTAGGTATCAAGGGTAATGAATAATCCATATACTAGATAATCAATTTTTGAGTGTGGGAGTTGAATCTATTTAAAGTAATTTCATCCCAATTTTTCTCCTAATAAAATAGTTGCAGAAAGCAGGATCCTTGTGCGTAATTAGATTACTAATGATCAGATACTATAATGGAAAAAAATGTCATGAAAGACCAAAAGCAGCTAGGTCAAAACTCAAGATCCTGTTTCTATGTAAATAGCTGTGATTTGTTTCTGATAATAAAATCCTTAAAATGGGATTTAGGCATAACTTCCTGGGCCAGGCGTGGTGGCTCATACTTATCATCTCAACAGTTTGAGAGACGAGGTGGGCATATCACTTGTGTCCAGGAGTTCAAGACCAGCCTGGGGAACACGACGAAACCTCATCTCTACAAAAAAAAACAGAAAAAGTAGTCAAGTGTGGTGCTGTGCACCTGTAGTTCCAGCTACTCAGGAGGCTGAGTTGGTAGTAGGATTGCTCCAGCCCAGGAGGTCAAGTCTGTAGTGAGCCAAGATCATACCACTGCACTCCAGTCTGGGTAACAGAGCAAGACTAGGTCTCAAAACCAAACAAACATAAAGACTAGGTCTCAAACCAAAAAAAAACCTCCCTAAAAAAACAGCTTCTTTATGGCATTAGGAAAACCTAAGAAATATTGACAAATGTTGTCAAGTGGCATCACAAATTTAAGAGTGAAACAAGATTAGTAAGTTTTATTTATTCTGAGGGTTACTACATATATCGGGAAAATAGCCAAATACAGTGTATGTCAGTTTCTTAACAAAAGAGATCAGTGAATGTCATGTTTTTCCTCTTACTTCCTACTGAAATTGACATTCTGTGAAATAAACACACAGTGAGTGCCACTTAATATTTTATCTGGTCCATTGAGACTGCCCTTTATTGACCTTTGATTATTATTATTTTTGCTTCTGAAGTTGGGACTCTCTGTTGTCTCACTGCCTTGCTTTATTGTAAAATGTCTTTGTTTGCCAGTTAAATTGTTGAAGTTCTGTTTAAATGAAGTTTTATATAGTATTCT